AGCATGTTTTAATATACCAAAGGCAGCATCAGATTGTTGAAGTAGATTATTGATACTAATCAATGATTCAATTGTAGGTGTTGTGGGCTCTTCGTAAAACTCCAATTCCTTGTAATGCAATGCCTTTGCGTAAGCATGGCACCTTTGCGCGTACTGGCCCAACGTAGTTATAGCAATGGGCAATGATTTGTCATCATGTTCCATAAATTCAGCCAAGTTCAAGAGAATCTGGTGAATCTCCGGTGGGTTGTTTGGAGAAGACAATGCAATGCAAAAAGACTCTATCAATTCCTCCTGATGTGAGAATAAAGTTCGCTCCAACAAGAGGCAAAACTCGAATTGAATAAGTCTTTTGCAAGAGGATGGTAATCTGAAGCTAGACCTGCGCAAGCTCTTATTGCATGAGATGGACTTTGTTTCAAGAGTTCTTTACTCAAACGTGCTATCCATTCTTGCCAATCCTCTTTCGTATTGTTCCTCTGTGATGAATCCCATGCCGCTTTTAATGCTGCTTGGTTAACAGGCAATTTTTTGAACGGTGTATCAACATCTGGAACATCAAAGTGAGACATATGTGAATCGTAGTCTTTGTACAAATTTAGGTGAGTTGGCAATGGATCACCGTTGAGCATTTTCGTCACAATCTGGTCAAACATGGCTGAATGAGTCTTCAGTGCAATCAAAGTTTTCTTAATCACCGGAATGAAAACAATGAAATCATCTGCTAGGCTCAATGCCAAACAACATATAGTGTTCATAGCAGCAGAAGATAAATCTTCGTTGCCTTGGCTAATTACCCGTAGCAATGGATGAATAATCCTCGAAGACATGTCATTTAGATCTAAAGTTCTTGACAACTTGCCTATTGTTTCAATTGCAGTTTTCTTCAAAATAGGTGGACCAATTTCAAACATCTTCACTATAGTTGGGACGACAACATGGACATACTCTTCAATGTTACTACCAAAGACAACGAAGCTTCGTAAGACATGAATAGACGGTTCCCGATCATGCGACTTATCTTCCTCAATCAAATTGAGCATCAATGGTAATACCTCAGGTAAATACATTTTGAACTCGCCTTCTAACGCCTTCGAAATGGATTCTATCAAATGAATAAGAATGACTCTGACGTTAGGTTGCACAGGGGAAACGAAGAACTCTTTGATCACTGCAAATATTTCAGGTAAGAAAGGACGAGTGTGTTGCTTAACAATCAAAATCAATGCCCCTAGTTGTTGCAAGTAGAACTTCAACATACTTGGTTGACAGTTGTGCATAACATTTATGATTCCTGGTATAATTTGAGGAAGAAACGAGACACATCTCAATCCAAGGGTTTGAAAGATATACATAACTGCCTGAATCACTTTGTTGTGATGAGCACTCAAAGAGGGGTCTTTTAAAATCTTCATCAAATTATTAATGGCAACAGTAGGGTAATATTCTTCACAAGAAGGAGACATTCCTTGCATCAAAAGAGCAATATCCACTGGAGGCGCATTCTGCTCCACCGGGATCTTTTGGGAAGTTTGTTCAACCTCCCGATGCTTATATGGGTCCAATGCACCCAAAATACCTAACAATCGAACAGTCTCCCGTCGAATTTTAGGCGAAGTTTCCAGCTTCAATATGCCTACTAGCATACCCAAAAGTTGTGGATAGTCTAGCAAAGGTTGGATCACGTATCCAGAGGAACTGGCAATTCTACCTAAAGCCTTTAAGGCTGCGTCCCTTTTGTATGATGAACTTTGGTCCTGAAAAGTTCCCAAGATCAACGGCATTAATTCCCCGAGGAAGGGTTTGATATCCTCGCCAGCTACAACAGCTGTCTCCCCAAGACAGCTGATTGCACTGGCAGAAACAGAAGAACTTGAGTCCTTGATTCTAGGGATCAATGCTTCAATAATAGGCTTTGTGTAAGGACGAGCTAATTCAGTCGAATTCGAAATCAAAAGAGAAAGGATGATAGCAGCTTCTTCCTTCTTTCTGCTAGTATTGGCATACTCTAGACGTGATAACAATTGTATCAAAGTTTTTCGAAGCGAAGGGACGATATAAGCGGGGTTAATGTTAGATAATCGTCCTAATATCTTTATCGCTACTTTCCTAATCGCAAACACCTCATCGTTAAGCGCAACAAAAAGTTGCTTCACGTACTCTGCTTGCGAAAGTTGCGGGTCAAATTCTCCAGCTTGGTCGAGGCATTTCAAACCTTCGAGTCTGATTTCTGCTATTGGATCAGTGATAGAAATGGATAATAATTTTTCAACAACTTCGTTCACAGCATTCAATGCATTAACACTTGTTTGATGGCAAATAGGGTCCTTGACAAATATTTTGCATGACGTAGAAGTTGCTGTTTGGCGCACTTTAGGACTTGGAGAATCCAAATATGCAATGATGCAATACCTAACAAACTCATTTAGTTGATAATTTTCGAATTCAAAAAATGCAAACATTTTTAATGCCTGAACCGCTATGCTTTCATCTAAAGATTGATAAGTTTCCGGGTTATTGAGGATGTTACTGATGCTAAGGCCCGTATCTCTAGATATCATCATTAATCGATATTCTTTTGCTGCGGCTTCGTTGATTTTCAACAGGCCATATGGAGAGCCAGGGGGCTGGAATGTTTCGCCTGACAAGACTAAACTCAATAAATTGAGTAGCTTTTTGTTGATGGTTGGGGTGAGTGATGGGATATTAGTGATTAGAGTTTGCAAGACATCTCTCATCGGCTTTGACAACGAACAATTGCTAAACATCATATCCAATATATCTCGCTGTAAATGCTTTGTCAAAGCTGGACCTACTGCAATAGATAGCTTTCCAATGCAGTCGAATATAGCTGGCTCTGTATCTTTCCGAATTGCCCTGTACTTGGATGAACCCAGAGAGGTGGTAGAAATGGCGCTAAGATTTGCGCCTGATGTATCACCTTTGGATACGGCATTGGCTAAAATCAGCTGAACGCCAGAGTTGGCTGGATAAGAAAGTCCCTCTCTGATGTTATCCAAAATAGCGTCCAAGTATGTTGCCATTTGGTTGCCAACTTCCAAACCGATGAGACCAATACTTCTTAGCACCGCACTCTTGTCAGCATTGGCAGACTCGTTGTAGTGGTTTTTGAACTTTTTCAACTGCGACAAATAGTAATACAACGTTCTATGCAAGTATTTCTCCACAAACATATCAGGGTTCACCTTACAGAGCAATGGATATATGTTTGTGAGCTCTTTCCGGATAATAGACATCTTGTGATTCTTGTATATGGTGATGTTTTCGTACATCGTTTCGAACATGTACTTAATATACGGATCCTCATAATATTTGACCAATTCTCGGTAAACCAAGAGGGCACCGTGGATCGCTTCACTTGAATAGCCATTTGCACTGTAAATCAAATTATAACTTGAAGAGGAGCCGCCGTTGTTTGGTTTCATGCCACTCTCATTAAGAATTTTGGATGCCAGATCAATCAAAATTCTGATCCATTTCTTTCTTAATTCAACGTCTCGTGAATAGAGAATAGACATACACTTTTGGAGAGTTTCGGCTGCATCTGTCCGAATGATGAGCTTGTTGTCCTTCAATGGAATCCAAATGTGCTCCAAAATCTGTGTAATATAGCCTTGAAGAAGCAACGGCGCATTATCTGCTAATGCAGAAATGATTAATATTGCTGCATGTCTTCTATTTTCATGCTGCCGGTTGTCACTCTGGAGCCATTCGATTGCCTTTTTGGCCTCGAAGTCCACAAAGTCTCCTGTTAAAGTTCCTCTGGGCGTGGCCAACTTGCCTAGTGTCTTTGTCGCTTGTTTCATAATCGTAAGATCATTGGAGAGAATCAAGGAGCTCAAGTAGTTCGAAAACCGAGCAGTTTTTGTAGCATTCTCTTCTCCCACCCCACTATCAAAATCGATCAATGCATTTAAAGCAGCAATGCCACCCAAGGTTTGTACGGTATCCTTGCTTTGAAGGAAATCAAATATTGTCTTGTTGATTTCATTGTTGTACTTGTTAAATTGTTCTGGTGTCAAATCTCTGGCTATGGACGCGAGAAAGTTCCGTAACTCTATAGCACTGCGTGATCGATCCTCCTCATTACTCAGTTTGAGGCCGAGGAAAATCTGGTTCAATGCAATGCCATCAACCACTTGGAGCTGTGGTGACGACATGATTTTTGAGCAGTCTGGTGTGAATTAGGTTTATAAATGGAATTTAGAATTTGTGTTCAAGCTTATCGCAGTGGACACATGTGGTGCACGGGTGTGTAAAGTACTACTGTATTGTCTCACTATTTTCACTCCAATTAGAAGTCACCAATTAAATGGAGATACAAAGATACTCGGTCAACTATAGCCTATATTTTCACTTTCTCTTCTTTTAAAAATCTATGGAACGGAGAACAAGGAAAAGTTTCTCACAATGCTTGGACCATACTCATCATAGTCCTGCTTAGTGTAACAATAACTCTTGAATTCGGCGGTTTGCGCTAACAAAGAGCCACCAAACCAGACAGCATTCCGTTGCCTCTTGTGAGAGATCACCTGGACCTCTACACCGGTACTCTTAACACCACTCAATTTTTCACTTATTTCAATTCTTTCGTTGACTATCGATTTGATATCTCTTTGCAAACGTCTTCCAAAATCTTTGAACATAGTAGAACCACCAGACAAAACGATGTTTTTGTATAACTTTTTCCGCACGTCGATTGGCGTGGATTGTACCACCTGGTCCACAACTGTAGGTAAAGGAGTCAAATAGTCTGAGGAGCAGATTTCAGGGTTGAAAAAGATCTCAGGCGCCAAAAAACGTTCGTAACCCACATCAACAACCTTCTTCCTGTCTGTGTACTCGACAACATATTGAGCAAACTTCTCTTGTGGATATTGGTCGAACTTCTTGAACTCTTTCACAATATCAGGACAAACATAACAAAATTGTTGCTTGATCTTCTCTGCTGTTTGCAAAGAAGTGTCAGCTTCACCCCTATCTCTCAATAAAGATTGTATGAAAAGGGTAATGTCTCTTCCAGCCAAAGGAATGTTCTTGATGGCACCACCAATGACATAACCTTCAGCCACCGGAATGACATGTGTAACACCATCACCAGAATCAATAACAGTTCCCGTTAAGGACCTATCCTGCACTTTTGAAGAAGTCCAGGAAGCCGCTAAAGCTAAGACAGCCTGTACTGCAATGTACAAACCAGCACAGTTAAAGGATTCAAACATGATCTCCGCAGTGCTCTCTCTGTTTTCAGGAGGGTTCAAAGGAGGCTCCGTCAACAAAAAGTAGTGGTCTTCAGGCTCGCATCTAAGGTACTTGAAGATGGAGTTCTCCCAGAAACGCTCCATGTGATCCCAGTTTTCGATTTGACCATGTCTGATCGGATACGACAAGCTATAATTGCTGCCGCTAGCCGCGTTCAATGCTTCATCTCCAATAAAGAAGTCCAAGTCCTCCAATCCCCGCTTGGCACTTAAAAACGAGTTGTTCGAAGCTGCACCTTTTCCTGCCTTTCCAGCACTAGCCGCCGTGGCAATAGCAGTGGGAAACACGTAAGAAGGTGAATCGTTACCAGCAAAACCCAATTTGGTCAAGCCGGTACCATTGTCCATAACGACCGCAGGTGTTCCCATCGACGCCATGATGAATTCTTTTTGTCAATTGGATGAGTGGGTACTGAGATTAATGATTGAATGGGGCACAGTTCGTTTTTCTGGGTAATAGCCAGGAGCGGTGTGCAGGCGCTCAAGTCCAATTCGTATGGTGTGCGCACGACACCCCATAGCGGTCCCTACTCGAATCGGAATTCGTAACTACATTCTTAATCTGGCTGTTGTAAAATGATAAGCAATAAAATATTATTTCGTTTTCCCCAACCGTGTCACGTAAGACCGTGTGGTTGATACTGTACATCAGGAGAGCTAGTACTCGTCCTTTCCGCTGATAATCACATCGTTGATCTTCAAAATCATTCTGGTCAACTGTGTAGCCAACAACAACTGCTGTTTCTTACCGATCAAAGGATCGATGACGAAAAGCTCCTTCATGTCGTTGGTGCCTAATCCCAAGCAGTCCACACCCAACTGAGAGGACTTTTCAAGGACTTGCTTAGATTTAAGCGTAGACAATGTTTCAATGGCATCCAAACCAGAGTTTTCAGCAAGCGTCATAGGAATTTGATCCAATGCTGTAGCAAATGCTCTGAACGCGTATTGGTCTATGCCTCTTTGTTTGTCTGCCGCTTCGCTGACCGCAATTGAGCACGCTAATTCGGCAGCACCTCCTCCATAAACAACTCTGCTATCTCTGATCAAATTACGCACAACACAAATGGAGTCATGCAAAGCTCTTATACCTTCGGCGACAATCATTTCATTCGAGCCTCTGATAAAACATGTGACAGCCTTTGTGTTGGAGCAATCCTCTACCACCAACATGCGGTCTCTGGTGGTACCGAACTCAAGTTCTCTTATTGTGCCCGCGTGGCCCAACTTTTCTGGTGTCAAATCCTCAAATCTTGGGACGATGCGACCATTAGTGGCAATGGCCAATAACTCCAATTCGGAGCCACCAATCCATCTGATAGCGTTTAGATTGTTTGACAACAACAAGTGGTTGGCTTCATCGTCAAATCCCCATTGACAAGCAACGACGTTAGCACCAGAAGCTTTAACCTTTTCAATCATTTCGATGAATTTTTTCTGCTCGTATTCCTGCAATACCTTGAACTCCTCCACCGTAGAAATGTCCAATTTATGCTTTGTCTTTGGCTTTGGTGGCTCGAATGGACATGTCAAAATGGCAATCTTGCAGTCATCAACTTGCTTTGGCATTTGTGGGTGAGAAAAGTCCTTGTCCAACAAGACACCTTTTATCAATGACGAGTCTTCGATGCCCCCGCCGACTTTACTCTCCATCTTGATCAACTCGAAGTCCACATCTTTTCTCTCGAGATCAGCCACCGACAAGACTGCGTCAACAGCCATGTGAGCAAAATGATCGTGAGCTTTAGAGACAATTTTCGAACCCAACGAGGTTTTTGCTGCCTTCAACAAGTTAGAGTCGGTAGCCTCGTGACTGATGTTGATATCGTCAGCCACAACGTCGAGATGTTGACAGGCAATTTTGCACGCTTCATCAAAACCATTGGCGATTTTGATAGGATGAATACCCTTTTCAATCAATTCCAAGGCTTGGTCCAATAAGGCACTAGCCAAAACAACAACACCCGTAGTACCATCTCCAATTTCGTCATCTTGCGAACGGGATAATTCAACCAACAACTTAGCAATCTCATTATCCAAGTCCATCTGAGATAAAATAGTGGCGCCATCGTTAGTTATGGTGATGTCACCATCCTGACTGACCAAAATTTTATCTAATCCACGGGGTCCCAAGGATGTCTTGACGATTGTGGCGACGGCGCGAGCAGCCAAGATATGGGACTTAGTCGCTTCCACACCATGCTTTCTCTGCTTTTTTCCTTGGTCGCGGACGATGATGAAAGGTCTTCCCATCTCATCCTGAGCCACTATGGCATTGGACAAATCTGGCATAGGAGGTTGGGCCATGATGAGTGTGGTTTATGGATTATATAGGATCGCTCGTTTTGGCCCACGCTACTATAGAGATCAAAATTTTCGAACACGCACCCGTACACCACACTTTTTTTGCCAACACCATTGAAAGAGTAATCTGTGTTGAATGACTGGGACGGGAGCATGAATACAGAAATGCCTTTCTTGGGGGCTTCTGTAGATATTCATGGACGTTTTTGTCTTTCTGTAAGGAACGTGTCGCTTTGGAAACAAATTTTTCCTTACTTGTACAACATAGATAAAGGCACCTTCGTGATATTACATAGCAGTATCTTCAAATTTCCTAAGAAGACGTAGAACGGCATCCCTAACTGTGCTCTATGTTCGAGTAAGCATGAGTATTACTAATTTGTACATTCTAGAGCATATTTCTATGCGTGGGAACGAGCATCGGAGAATCATGCATAATACCCTGAAAAAAAAAAAGCTTGGTCTCTTTCCATTAATTAACTTTTATATTTCATCACAAGACTATTTGCCATGGCTGACGTTGATGTGGATACTGCTTCGATTGAGCAACTAAGAGATATTTTGTGTAACAAGTCTGGTGACATTGCCTTAGCTAACAGATTTAGAGCTTTGTTCAACTTGAAGTGCATTGGTGCGGACTCTTCTGATGAAGAGATTATTCACAAGGCTATTGACTACATTGCAGAGTGCTTTGGAGACAGCTCGGAGTTATTGAAGCACGAGGTGGCTTATGTATTGGGTCAAATCAAAAATATCCATGCTAACAAATACTTGGCCAATGTTCTAGAAGACAAAAACCAGCAGATCATGGTTAGACACGAGGCAGCTGAAGCTATGGGTGCTATTGGTGATTCTTCCAGTTTGAACTTGTTGGAAAAGTACTTCAAAGAGGACCCCGATATCGAAATCAGGCAAACTTGCGAATTGGCTATTGAGAGAATCAAATGGGAGAATTCTGATTCCGCTGGTAAAGAAATCTTGGAAAAGTCGTCCTTCACTTCTATTGATCCTGCTCCACCCTTGCCTACGGATAAGGAGTCTAAGGTTGAAAAATTGCAAAAAATTTTGAACGACCAGGAGAAGCCTTTGTTCGAAAGATATAGAGCTATGTTCAGATTGAGAGACTTGGCTACAGACGAAGCCTGTCTTGCATTGGCTAGTGGTTTTGAGGACCCTTCTGCATTGTTCAAGCATGAAATTGCGTATGTCTTTGGTCAGTTGTGTAATCCTGTCACTGTTCCTTCCTTGATCAAAGTCTTGAAGGATGAAAGAGAGGCTGGAATGGTTAGACACGAAGCTGCTGAAGCATTGGGATCCATTGCTACCGAAGATTGTTTGCCAGTTTTGAAGTCCTTCTTGAATGACAGTGTTGATGTCGTCAGAGACAGTGCTGTTGTTGCGTTGGACATGTACGAATATGAAAACTCGAACGAATTGGAGTATGCCACAGTCAAAACAAACTAATGATACTGGGGGGAAATTAATCTATGTTGAAAGTTAATAAATGACGTTGATTGATAATGCAAATTTTTCTATAGTACAGAGGAGAAATGACGGAGGCCCATCCAGTCTAGTTGTTTGTTCTGAAGCGATAGCCACACCCAGTACATGTATAAAACACTGTAGCACCTTCATCGGCAGATCTTAATTGTAAAGTATGGTATTGCATCTCCTCGTTTCCACACTTTGGACATTTTTCTTTGATAGTGGCTCCTTCCTCCAACTCATCGTTCTTCAAGGAAGTCTTGACAACAGATCTTTTCAATTTCAAAGACGATGGGAAAGCATCCTCAGAAGACTTTGTAACAACTTTCAAGTTGGCGAATTGAGAACTCTGGTACGATCTATGACATACGCCGCAATCCAACGTAGGTTTGGCGGTCACGGAATCCAATAAGTTACCGCAATCATTGCAGAAGATTAAAGAACCAACAACTGACATATTTCCTTAAGTGTTTATCTCTTATGGAGTGTGTCTCATCTCGAATATTGAGTTTTTTTCTCCCCGGTATATTGCCCACGACACCCCCGGAAGTGTCCGAAAAATGGATGCTCATCACATTTTACCCTCGTTTTTCGGAATACGACATAAGTCTTTTCACTACTATCAAACTCTTTTACCCACTGAAGAAGCATTATGAGACAAAAGAGAGCCAAGTCCTACAAGAAGCAAATGAACTTGTATTTGCACACCTTCAAGTTTAGAGAGCCTTTTCAAACGATCGTGGATGACGAGCTTGTTCTTACATGTGACAAGGCTTCTTTCGACTTGACTAAAGGTCTCAACCGAACTATTCAAGGTGAAACCAAGCCAATGATTACACAATGTTGCATGCAAGCGCTCTACTCAACAAACAACCAGAGAGCTATAGAAACTGCTAAGCAGTTTGAAAGACGTCGATGCAATCATCCTCCAAAAGATCCAAAACCGCCAGCTGAATGCATTGAATCTATCGTTAACATTGATGGCATCAATAAACACAGATACATTGTTGCAAGTCAGTCTATTGGCTTGAGAAAACGACTTCGAGGTGTGCCGGGTGTTCCCTTGATTTTTATGAACAGATCTGTTATGGTCATGGAACCAGCATCGTCTGCATCACAAAGAGCTGCTGCAATGCATGAAAATGCTAAACTTACTGCAGGCTTAAATGACTCCAAAGTTGGATATGTCGAGAAAGATGCTCCTGAAAACGAAACAGATGAGTCGAGAAAAAAGAAGAAGAGAAAGGGACCAAGCGAGCCTAACCCATTAAGCATCAAGAAAAAGAAGGCTGAACCAAAGCCAGAGCCTAAAGAACAAAAGAAGAAGAGATCTAGACGCCACAAAAAGGCTTCTGATGTAGAGAAGGCGCTGGACAATGAAAATGCAAATTACCTGGGACAAGAAAGTGCTGCTCAAAATGAAGAGAAGGTTTTAAACAAAGAGGAAGGAAACGAAATCACAAAAGTGAAGGACATTGAGAGTAGTGCTGATCAAAATGTTGAAACTACTGAGCCTGTGGTTAAGCATAACGAAATAGAACAAGAAGACTCACTGTCGTCGTCAAGCTGAAAACTGACTGCTTTATAAGACCTATAGAAGTGAATGATGCAAATTATTAACTTTCCACTTTTTGCTGTAAAACTTCAAAAGCGTTGTGTGAAGGTGCTGGTACTTGCTCGATTTGCTGGGTGACAGTAACGTTGGTCAGATCTGTTTTCAAGATGTAATCAGCTCCCTCGGTTACAAGACACATTTTGCAATCAAATGCTAATAACTTGTCCCTGAAAATCTTCTTGAATGTCTTCAGTAAAATGTATAGCCTATCTTCTTTTTCTTTATCCATCGCTTGATAGTCTTGATGATGAAAAACAAATGTGGATTCTTTGATCCATTGTAATTGCCAACTAGTCACTTCTGGATAAGATTTCAAAATATCCGAGATGCTGGCTTCTAGATCTTCTCTTTTGACCCCGAAGAATACATCACTTATGATGATGGCATTAAAAAGCGATTGCTCGATTTGAGCGGATTTGAGTTCTTCAAGCTGTTGGCGTTTACGTTCAGCATCGTCTTGTTTCTGAATAACTTCCATGATAGTGAGAGTTGGTGATGAGGTCAATTCGGTGATGCAGATAAAGACTGATCTAAGCGGTTCCTTGTCTTGTGACTCGCTGTATAACTTGTAAACTTCAGCCAACTCATGGATGAAGGTGCGTTGCGGTTTCGACATTGGTGGAAAGTGCAAACTCTTATTGGGTTTCAAGTTTGCAGCGACGGAATCCTGATAATCACTGACAAAGTTCCTGATCGTGGCCTCCATTTTCAGACACCACGCATTCTGTCTGCGGAAAACATTAAGTACAGATGCTGGATAAGAGTAATCATCTTCTTGTGAAGATACGTTGAATATCTTACTGAGTTCCTTTTCACGCTTGATCTGCGCACATTCCTCATCACAAGAGAAGAAAGAGCCTATTCTCGATTTCTCATTTTCATCAGCCCCACATACAACATTTTTGGTTAGTCTTCCACAAGAGCATGTAATGACAACTGGCGCCTTGCATTTTAAAGCATCACAGGAAGTCCCTTTACCACTGTGACATCTTGCTGCACACAAATGAGGGCAGTTCTTCCTGATTTTGTGACACTTGGATTGGCAATCTAAGATGTCAGCATGAATACCTCGAGTACAATCCTTATTGCAAGCCCTGTTGCAGGGATGTCCGCAAGATTTCTTTGCGTTACATATTTTGCCGCAAGAAACGCTTTGGACAGAACATAAGACATTCTTCAACTCCCTTTCTCCACAATTGCATGACTTCGATACGAGGTATGTACACTTTGGACAAGCGACGTCGTCTCCATGACAATTATGAATTTCAGGACGGTGGCCACAAGGAGTTTCTCTCGCACATTGTTCATGGCATTCAATCTTTGTGCCGCATCTCACAGGAGCTGGAATCACAGTCTTCCCACAGTGACATACAAGATCTTCGCTAGAGGATTCAAGACACTCTCCACAAGAACCACTGTGACAAAGTGCTTGACAGTGATGTTTCTCACACAGCTTGAGTAAGTTGCACGTTCTAGTGCAGATATGAATTGGTTCCATTGTTAATATCTGGTCCTCGAAATTTGCTCGTGTGCGGTTTCTGAAATGTTTTCTAGTTTCTCTCTCTCTTCTCAATGCCACTTGCTCAAATTCACAACACTCTTCTCTATGGGTGTGTCTTCTGCAACTTAGAGTGGCAGTGCATTTATGATGACATTTGGGACGGAATCCTTGTTGTAAAGCTTTGCAAGGAACTAAATATGAAGAATTTTCGCATGAACATTTTGTTTCGATGATATTGAAGCATTCACAAGGACCTTGATGACACTTAGCAAGACATGTGCAGCCGCACTTCAATAATTTGCCACAAACTTGATCACACTCGGGCATTGGATCTGTACAGTTCTTTCTATTGAGAGATTCCGCAGGAGTCTTTCCACAGTAACACGATGTGACATTTTTAGGTGCATACTTGCACTCGCGAGTTTTGGATGGTAATGGCTGGCAGTCGAGCTCTTCAAAATGCACACCACAGTCATAATATTCAATGCTGATATTGTTACAAGCAACACCCCCAACAAACAGCGAGTATCTCGCATCCTTCTCTTTGCAAATCTTTGGGACAATCTTCAGACATTGTACCGCGATATTCTCTTGTCCACAATAGCATCTAGTGTTGACAAGCTCTTTACAAATACCACAGAATCCCAGATGACATTTCCCTATTGG